CAGTTGAGAGGGCATGGTCTGTCAACGGGGGGGGGGGGCGACCATATATATATATATATATACATACATACATTCCGAAAGCAGCAGAGTTTCGTCCAGATGCCTAGCATGGACAACTTCGGTGGCGCCTGGTACTGCCTTGGGCAGAGTGGGCTTTGATGAACCCCAAACTAACCCACAACTCTAAACCCTCAGCCCAAACCCTTCACACCAAATCTCAAACTCAAGGCTTGAATGGCTTGTCTGCTAGATTTTGGTTCTAGAGCCACTCAAGGGTGCAAGATGTTACGGGCTTGAGCTTGGGGTGCCGATCGTGCTCCTGCCTCGCTGCGATGCGCACTCTGCAATTCTGGTGGGGTCTCCGCGGAGGGGCAGGGGACTGTGGCGGGAACACAGTCTCGAAGTCACCTTGCAGTGTGACTTATACATCCTAGCCCGATGTCCCAACTGTGGGCCCTCGCTAGGTTGACGAGTTTAGGATTGTGGCTTCAGGGCAGAGACTTTTAAGGTTCAGAGTTTACGTACTTTGAACTGTTAAGGATCTCAGGGTGCCGGGCTGTTATGGCCCAGGCATTCGGCAACTTCAATCTGAACTACTGATGCCTCCTTTCAGATTCAGACAAGTCACGGAACGAGACTGGTCTGCACGTCACTCAAGTCCTGTCTCGATCAGAACTTTTGAACCTGAGTGTTCAACTGGCCGCAGTCATTGGGAAAGGCGGGTGTTGGAAACAGGTTTGGCAAACAAGGGGCACAAACTTCCCCCAACTCTACAAACCACGACCTCATAAACCTGTATTCAACACCTAGCCCCTAAACCCTAAACCAGTGAGCATCGCAAAATACTAGGGCCAAAACCAATCCTAAAGCCCTAGCAGCCCGAAGACTAAAATGACTCTAATGTAAGGACCTTAACAATGTCAGTAGGGTTTAGGGTATATTATACTATAATTCTTAAAAGGAACCCCCCCAAAATTATATAGGTAATTATTAAGGCCCCGAAATACCCAAAAGCAAAACATAAACAAGAGCCTAAAATAACCTTAATTTAGCCATGCCTCGAAGCACAAGCAAACCCAACAAACGAAAACGCCGCAACCACTGAAAAGCGACGGCCCTATAAACCCTGTACATAGAACTCTGCGAAGACTTGGAAACACACACATATTTCCTTGAAGGTCAATTCTGTTACCATTGCTTCTTCTGCTCCTATCGTATAGGGAAATTGAAGACATAAGTAAGAACAAATCACCGTGTCAACTTAAGGACAGGCTTGCTCCGAACTTCGCATAGCGGGTCTTATCATCCTCCCCCGAAAAGCCCCAAAAACCCTACAAAGATCCGGCCTGATGCTCGTCTGCGAACTGCTGGTAGTCGAAGGACTTTACCAACTCCTTGTCGACCCGGTTTCAGACGTTTGCAGGTCTTAAGGCTACATAGAGTCTCGTGTAGGCCCTGAACCCTAAACCTTGTCTTGCACGCCCTTAGAACCAACAACAAGCACTAGTTGCAATAATCTCTCGGAGTCTTATTACAAACCTGCTTTTCAAACAACAAGGACTTCCTAAGATTGGACTAGAGTATATGGGAGTGGCTATTGTACCAAGATATCCCCACAAGCTTCCTATGACCTGACTGTAACCTGAATTAACTCAGCACGTTCAAGCAAAAAAACATGCTAGAACCCTTAGAAGGACCCTTACCGACACCCTATAAACCCTACAGCCATACTTACTAAGTCCCCTGACCCAAGGGGTCCTAAGTACCTATATCGTAGAATTTAGGGTTTCTGTAGCAGGAATCCCTAAACCCTAAACCCTAAACCCTAAACCCCTAAACCCTAAACCCTAAACCCTAAACCCTAAACCCTAAACCCTTGGGCAAGGGCCACAAGTCGCCTCACCGAGCTAGCTCAGCGATTCCCTAATGAAGTCTAGGGTTCAGGGTTTGTAGGTTTAGGGTTTAGGGATTTAGGGGTTGAGGGGTTGGGGTTTAGGGTTGATAGTTTTAGGGTTTAGGGTGGGCAAAGGGTGCAGGGTTTAGGGGCTTAGGGAACAAAGTTTAGGGCTTAGACACTTCTCTGGAAGGACTGTGGGGATAATCAAACCGCTACTACAGTCAGAACTAGTCAGAACTCTTGGAAAGCCGGAAAGCTTGACCATAGCAATTGCATGCTTGTCAAGGGCAGTGGCTTCAAAAAGTTACACACAAGGCACATCCGTATAATGCATATATGTACATGGCTTCAACCACAGAGCCTGGTACCGACTACTTGATTAATTAGATGACAGGGCACGGATGGCTTAACTACTTAACTAGATGACAGGGCACGGATAGAGTCTCCGCCAATTCATTTCGGATTGAGAGGGCTGAACCCGAAGATGAATACTTGGAGGTTCATGGGCAGTTATAAGTAGGGTTATAAGTCCCCTAATATGGGTTATAAGTATAGTTACCCTACTTATAACCCCACTTATAACTACCCATGAACCTCCAAGTAGGTGGGCTATTCCAAAACAGGGTTTCTGAGCCGCCAACCCAGAGCCCCAAACAGCTCAAAGCCGCCTATCACGAGGGCAACCCACCCCACCCCAGCAAAATGAACAACAGAACCATTGTGAGGCTGTTCACAGAAACCCCCTAGCAAACCCCAAACTAAACCGCAAACCCAAGGCCTTCAAGCCTAAACCCTTCTGTTGAACTCATCTTTAAAACCTTCATGGAACTTTTCGAAGCCTTCAAAAGCCCAAGAATTCTTCGATCGTTGCAACATTTGTGGAAAGCTTCCGTGTCGGAGGCGTTGAACTTGCCAGCCTTGCAGTTGTAAATGCCTGGCTTGGGGTTCAGAGTTAGGGTTTAGGGTTTAGGGTGTAGGGCTTAGGGTTAGGGTCTAGGGTTTAGGGTTTAGGGTTTAGGGCTTAGGGTTTAGGGTTTAGGGTTTAGGGTTCATGGTTCAGGCTTTTAGTATTCTTTTGTTCTGAGAACCTGTTCTCCTGCGGTGCGTCGCTTCTTAGAGGTTTAGGGTTTAGGGTTTCGGGTTTAGGGTCATGAAGGGGCCTTAATAATTAGAATAGAGTTTTGGCATTTTTTGTACTACAACAAAAAAAAGGAACCCCCAAAAGAGTATATTCATTATAAGGGCCCTATATTATGGGGTTTATGGCCCCTTCTGTTGCTTCTGGAAGTCTAGAAAGGCTTTACAAGGGTTTTTTGGGTTATGGGAGGGGGCCCTAAACCCTAAACCCTAAACCCTAAACCGGGAGCTTGTGAGCCTACCGTGTAGCTTTCAGGGCTTCGGGGGGGTTAAGGCTTGGGGCTTTCAGTTCAAAGCTCTAGGGCTTCGGCTTCGGGCGGTTTAGGGTTTAGGGTCTAGGGGTTCGGGTTCAGACACTGGGGTTTGCCGGCAGAGCATGACGATGTTGAGGACTGAACATGTCGGCATCGATTTACCTGAAAGGATCCTTAATTCCTACGTGGGGCAAGGTGGGGTTTCAGTAGTTTCGTGGTTAGTAAGTAATTGGTACCTGTACTCCAGTAGCCCAAAAAGCTACATAGTTTGATTCATATTCATCTTCATCGACATCATCCTGATCAACACCGTCATCATCAGCAACATCATTGACAGCGTCACCACCACCTCGACACCCGTCATTCCAAATATGTTATCAGTTCCGCGTGCACGCCACCGTCATCATCGTCATCATCGCCATCACCGTCCTTTTTGTCGTCATCACTGTCACTGGTTTGCCACCATCTCTGCTTATTTTCGACTCCATCGTCGTCGTCATCGCCCTCATTCTCATGAAGAACGGCTATGTACCTTTGTATGTGCATGCTTGTATATCTATATACGAATACATATATGCATACGTACATACATACATACATTTCTTCCGGACGCAGCGA